CCTACTATGTGCCCGGCACTGTGCTAAGCACAAAAAGAGGCAAAACACAGTCCCTGCCCTCAGGGAGTTCAAAATTTAATAGAACAACTAACAAATACGAGCAAACAAGCTAGATACCAGATAAATAGGAAATAATTAACAGAGAGAAGGCACTGGAATGAAGAGGGGTTGGGGAAGGTTACCTGGACAAGGTGGGAGTTTAGTTGGGACTTTGAAGAAGCCAGGGAGGTCAGTAGGGAGAGGGAGTGCTCTGGGCAAGGGGAACAGCCGGAGAAAAGGCCAGTCAAGAGATGAAGTGTCTTGGGGGCAGCTAGGTGGCACAGTGGATAGAGCACCAGCCCTGGAGTCAGGAGGACCTGAGTTCAAATCTGGTCTCAGACCAGACACTTCACACTTACTAACTGTGTGACCCTGGGCAAGTCACTTAGCCCCAATTGCCTCGAAAAAAAAAAGGAGAGAGAGAGAGAGAGAGCTGAAGTGTCTTGCTGGTGGAGCAGCCAGGAGGCCACGATCACTGGATTGAAGAGTCCATGTTGGGGAGTACGGTGTAAGAAAGTTGTAAAGGTGGTGGGGAGGGGCACTAGGTTACAGAGGATTTTGAGGTGATAGAGCCACTGGAGGGACTTGACTGGACAAGTCACTTCAACTCCCTGGGCCTCAGTTTCCTCATCTGTAAATGGCTTAGTCCCTTCTAGCCCTTGCTCTATGACCCTTGGACAAGACCCTTTACCTCTGGGTGGCTTCTAAAGTCCAGATTTAAATGTTGGATCCTGGGATCCCAAGTCTCTTTTCCTCTGGGTCTCACTTTCCTCATCTGTAAAATGATGGGGTTGTATTAGACGGCCTTTGAGGTTTCTTCCTACTCTAAAGCAGTTGAGAGCAGGAGTGGGAGACTGGGAGGAGGAGAGAGGGGGCTGAGATCATGAGCAGCTTTCTATAGGAGGCAGGCTATGAGCCTTGAATGAAGTGCCTGGGGACCTATGGGCCCTCCATTCCATCTTTCATCGTGAGGGAGTTTCCCCTTCCGTGGAGCCCAGTTCTGCCACCTCAAGACTTCCCCTGATTGCTCCTAGTTCTGTTCTGTGCTGTTTAAAGATCTATGAGGGATAGATACACTTTCCTCCCACCCACCCCTCCAACTTAAGGCTGTGGTCACACTGGCCACATCCTATATGGAGCCAGTCTGGGTATCCCCTAGTCATTGAATGTCAGAGTGAGAAGGAATCTGGAAGATTGTGGCCAGTCCCACGGGTTCCTGGCTAGCCACACATATTTTTACATTTGAGAAAACAGAAGCTGGAGAGACACTTGTCCATGTCACAGAGTGAATTCATTTCAGAGCCAGGAGTGGAACCCGGGTCTCCACACTCCTGGCCCAGCGTTCTCTTCACTACATTCCAAAGGAGATCAGGGATAAGAAAAAGCCTTGAAAAGTCCTAAACCCTTTGCAGATAGCTAGGGGGGAGGGGGACCGTTCTTAAGGACCCCCTGTGATGAACTTAGCTGAGAACACGGCTAGGGCTTCAGAGGCTGGGCATCCCTGGATGGCTGCTCTCTGCGTCGCCGAAGGAAACTCCCGAATCATCGAGGCCACTGATCCACTGGGATATTTTGAGCATTATTAACCAATTGTGGTTTAATGCAGAAGGCACAGGGCTTGGAATCAAAGCCCAAGCCACCATTCCTTGGTCTCCCACTGACTCCCTGGGGCAAAGCACCTGCTCCCTTGGGCCTCACTTTCCTAATCTGTAAAACAAAAGGGTCAGACTGCATGATCTCTAAGCTCTCTAGCCCCAGACACTCCATGTTCTAAGACTCCTCCCAACCCTGATATCCCCCGTTCTAAGGCCCCTCCCAGCTCTGACATTGCCTGTTCTAAGCTCCCTCCAAGCCCTGACATCCCCTGTTCTAAGGCCCTTCCTAGTTCTGATATTCCCTGTTCTAAGATCCCTCCAAGCCCTATCATTCTGGGATTCCATGACCTATTTGTTGAGCATCTACCATATGTACAGAACTGTTTATTGAATTGATTTGCCTGAGCCAAAGTCCAGGTAACAGCACATGGTCTCTTCTAAAATGTTCTCATGGGGAGTTTCTCCAGCTGTACTGGTAGGGATAGACCTGTGACTTCATTGGATTAGAGAATTCCCAGGTGAAAAAACTCTCTCCCAAGGGGCAGGTTGACACCTTCGCAATTTGTAGACTTAGGGAAATGCCTAGAGCCCTAAGAGGTTGTATTCACTCCACCTCAACACCGTGTTAAAGGGTATCTAGTCCAAGCCCCTGCCTCAAGGCTCTTCTCTACACCAACCTGGGCAAGGGGTCCTTCAGCTTTTACTTGAAGACCTTTCACTGAGCCCAGAGGTGGCCTGGTCCATGGTCAGACAGCTCCAACTGTTGGAAATTTCTTCCTTATGTTGGTGCCAAAGCCAGCTGGCACTCAATGGTCCTACCACTGCCTCCAGAACCACACAGAATAAATAGAATCTCTGGCCCCACCACCTCTACAACTATGTTTCAGTTATTCAAAGAGCATGACTCTGTTCCCCAAAGATCATCAATCTTGGAGTCACCAGACCCTAGTTCGAAATCTGGTTCTACCACTTACTGTGGACAAGCATTTAGCTTCTCAGCCCTAGAATCTGCAGTAAAATGAGATAGTTGAGCTAACCTCTGAGGTTCGACAGCTACGAGGGTCTAGGGGCACAGTACCCAGCTCTTTCCAGTAAACCTAAGATCTCAAAGCTTAGGGATCCCCTGATTAGGCCTGGCTGTCCCCTCCCCAGGTCAGTGGATGGTAAGGTGAGGAGGAGGAGGAGGAGGCAGGCAGACACACTTAGGAGAACAGTATTGTTCTACAATGCACAGGAAGTGGGAGGAGGTGGAGACTTGGACCTACAGATGCCAGGGGTGGGGGGTGATGATGACCCAGCAGTCCAAGGCGGGCCTCTCCAGACCACTGGGCAGAAACAGGTGCATCCTGGTCCCTTTAACTTTTTGCTGATCAGGGCCCCAGCTTCTGAGGCTCCCTCCCCTTCCCCCACCTCCTCACACACTATTAACCCCTTCACTCCCTATCTTCTTCTCTTCTCCCCACCCCCCTTCCATGGCATCAGACACACCGAGGCGTGTATACTGTGGATCTTGGTGTCGCTGGGTGGGGACTCCACCAGCCCAGATGGGCCTCCACCTTTGAACACTGAGCTCTCAGCTCTAGGCCTTTGTCTCCCTTGGGGCCCCTTCCTTGTTCCTGCCAGGACCCAGCAGCAGCTAACACCTGCACTCTGGGGGGAAGCCTGGGCCCCAGAAGGCCTGGGTTCTATGTCAGCTTTTGTTGCTGTGACCTGGAGTCAATCACTTCCTGTCTGTGAAATGAGGGCGTTGGAATACCAGCTCTGCAGCTTGTGACCTTGGGCAGGTCCCCCTTTCTGGGCCTCAACTTCTCCATCCATAAAATGAGGAGGTTGGATTACATGACCTCTAAGGCTCTTGCCAGCTCTAAATCGTCTCCAAGGACAGGTGGGCTAGGTGCCAAGCCCGTGAGGTGTGTCTTCTCAGGGCCCTTGACGATTGTTTCCTGATCCATCTGGCCAAGTGGGAGGGGCTGGGGGTGATCCAAACCCTCTTCCGAAAGTTCTGAGGTAGCCTTAAAAGAGAGATGGGTCTAATAGGCCCTTGCCACCTCTCAGTCCTCACTGAGTGCAGCTCCGGGCAATCCACAAAGAGCACACGGCCTTGAGTCTGAATGGGAATTCTGGCTATGCTACCTAATTAGCTGTGTGACTTTGGGGAGGCCCCTTGGCCTCTCTGATCTCTAAGCTCCATCCAGCGGCACAAACATCCCACAGGAACCTTGAAGGGGGAGAAGAGCAGGGAAACATCAAGGTCAGGGCCAGGGGTAAGGGAAGGAGGGAAGCCAGGAGACCCAGGCGCAGCCTGAGCTCGGGCGGGACAGGACGCTCCCCCCGGGTTCCTTGGGCCGGCCCACTCACTTCCTCCTCCTCCTCCTCCTCCTCCTGGCTGATCTAATCCGTGTTTGCGTGCGCAAGTGTACACACACAGACACACACACACTCACGAACAACAAACGGAATGTACACATTGAGTCACGCACGCACGCACACCCGCCCCGCTCGTGGCCCCGATGGGATGGCTCATTGGGGCTGGGGAGGGGGCGTGCTTACTCTTCTTCGCCCACTCCCAAGTCTCCCTTCCTCGGCCCCCAGTCAGGAACGTCGGGTCCCACCTCCCCTTCCACAGCTAGCCAGCCTTTTAGCACCGGCAAGGGGCGGGACAGAACAGACAGACAAACTCTCCTTCCAGGTTCCCCAACCTCAGAGAGGACCCCTCTGGCTCAGACTCGGGTGGGGTTGGGGGAGACAGACAAACTCTCCGCGTTCCATCCCCCTACGGAGGGGGGTGGGGTGGGACAGGCACCTTCACTTTCAGTTCTCCCAACTTCGTACGAGGGTGGGAAAGACAGACACCCTTCCCTCAGCCCCTTTCCCCTCCTCTGTATACCAACTCGGGGCTGGGGGCGATCCGGACACCCCCAGCACTCCGCCCAGCGAGTGCCTCCACTACTTCTAGCTCAGCGAATCCCCTTCTCTGCTAAGAGGGGACAGACAAGCGAACAATTCCAATCCTCCCCCCTCGCACTATGCCCAACGTCCCGGGGCGAGAGTAGGACAGACAGACAAGTAGACACACACACACACACACACACACACACACACACACACACACACACA